CTGCCATAGGATAAGCAGTTTCCCACACTAGACCTTTCCACAAGGCCCTGGACCCAGCAGACTGTGCACTGAAAATGTGAGTGGAAATAAACTTTTCTAATTTGCAGATGTTGGTCTTCTGTCCCAGTGATGAAAAAATGACCAAGAGATCTTGATACTGAGAGTGAAGGTGTTGCTGTGACTAAACCTTTGTGGTTTAGAAGCTTTTGGAACTGGTTTTCAGGATGAGTTTGGAAAAATATGGAGATGCTGACTGAGGAATGCCTAGAATGCTATAAACTTAGTTTGATGGGAGATTCTGGTCAGAACTCAGAAAATCAAAATGCTGGCAAAAACAGAATAAAAGCTAGGTTCAGAGGTTAGAGTTGGAAACACAAGGGCTCCATTGGCAATTGGGCTGGAGGCCATTATATATTATCAGAAAATTTGTTTATATTTTGCTCACGTCCTGAGATTGTGCAGGATGCAGAGATAAAGGGTAGCGGATTAATTAATTAATCTGGTGGAGGAAAGTTCAAGACAGCCCAATGTTCAGGCTGTGGCATGAATACTTCTGGTTGCCTTCAGCCAGGTTTACAGTGAGAATACAGAGCAAAAAGCCCTTTTGAAAAATTTGGAGTTTTGCCAGAAAGGAAGTACCTATAAAGATGGGGTCTTGAGGACTTGGTTGCTGAAAAGATTAGCATTAAAAAGAAGCCAAGTACTTAGTGCCAGGACAATAGATGTTTAAAGACATCTCAGGAATCAGCAAGACCCCACCATTCACAGATAGGCTCCAGGGCACAAAACTATAAAGCTTTCATTGGAGCAGAGAACCCTCACCTGGTCCAGAGCCAACCAGAAGAGTCTCCTGGAACTGTTAAAATTTTGGCATGGACTAAATGCATTTTGCATAAATAAACGGGCACAAATCTTTTAGGGATCAGGAGCAGAATGTCATGATTTAGATCTATGGTATCCCCCAAGTCTCCTGTGTCTGGAAAATAATTGGCTCAGGGGGATCATATTCATGGGTGGAGTGGTGCACTGAGTGTGTTGGGAGGAGGTGGCGACCGCTTGGAAGAGGTGGATCACTGGTGACCTGGAAGGGTGGGTCTCTCTCCCTGGCTCCTCCCGTCTCTCCCTGCTGCCTGGCTGCCATAAGATGAGTGGCTTTCTTCTGCCAGTTCCTTTTATTATGCCTTTCTTGCCTTGGAGCCAGCTGACTATATATTGAAAATGTGGGCCAAAATAAAGTATGCTTTTGGGGGCTTGCCAGTTAGCTGAATTGTTTAAGCACCTGCTTGGGCAAACTCAATCAGGCGCAGGGAACCACAGTTCGATTCCCAGCTCCACATGCCATACCAGACATGCTCTTAAAGTAGCCTGAGACAGCCAAATAAATAAATAAATAAATAAAGCTTTTAAATTCTGGGTGTTATGTATTGCATCTTAGGGACAAAGACATCTAAGGCAGAAAATGCCAAAGGTAGAATTCTAATCTATATTTTCCTGACTCCATATTCTCTGCTCAGGTTTAATGTCTGATGTGTGGGGGTCAGCCCCATTTTACAGCTGGGTAGATGGGCTCAAATGGAGGATTCTCTCCAGGACCTCTACCTCCTCTGATATCTTCTGTTTCTAAGACCCCAGGCCTTACTCTGAGGAAGTAGCATCTCTGAACCCAGTGGAATTTGTCTCTGCTATCTCTGACTCTTCTGAGGTCTTGAGAGTACAGTATCCTCCCCCCATCGAAGAATCATGGTCACTGAGGGAAGCAGCCTAGCTCAAATCCAGCACTGCCACACACTCACTGACACGTTGGACAAATTCTCTCTAACCCTGAACTCCAATTTCTTCATCTGTAAAATGGGTTCTCTGTTTCCTAGGCTTCTCTCCCAAGATACATTCTCCTCCAGGAGGTAGCCTGCATGAGTGGGTGGTTATTGCCACTGTTATTACTCCACCCCAGAGCAGCTTCAAGGTCAAATCTTGCTGCCACTGATGTCTACAGTCTACTGGGGCCTCCTGGAACCTGATCGGAGGGTATCGACGAGGGGGTGAGTAGGGTTAGCTGCTATTCTTGGAAGTGATGGAACCCAGCCAGGTTTCAAGTTCCCTCAGTGAGCTCTGGCCCAGGCAACTCAGTTGGTCATGTGAGCAGCAAGGTTTGACCTCAGCATGTTTTCCTGGGCTCTCCATATGGCCCAGGCAGGACAGAACTCTGGGGCACACAGTGTGCTACCTAGAGGCCACATCCTACTGCAACTGACCTCTGCCTTTTAACTCATGATCATCAGCTTCTTTTTGATGCTCAGGGGGGCTCTGAGTGCTATGTGAACATCTTCCTGAGGCTGCAGAGTTTCTAACATCTGCGTGTGAAGTGGAACTAAACAGTGGGAAGAAGGTCTAAGAGATAGGCAGGACTCAATTCTAATCCCATCTGCAATATTCACTCAGTCTATGTCCTTCTATCAGCCCATTTGTCTGGCTGAGCCTCAGCTACTCTGGCTGAAAACTGGTTATAATGGAAGCTTCCTTAGAGAGTTGCTGATGGGATTAGAGAAACTGGCATCTAGGGGCCAGGGAGATGGCTCAGTGGAATAAGTGCGTCTCTGGCAAGCGCAAGGGCCTGAGTTCAATCCCTGGTTCCAGAGAGAGAGAGAGAGAGAGAGAGAGAGAGAGAATCTGGCATCTACTAGTTGCTCAATAAGTGACCACTATTTAGACTATGAGTTTCTTTTAGACAGACATTTTTGTCAGAGTCAGCTCTGTCCACACTGTACAAAGTAGGGGGACTCTCACTGTTGGTTAAATCTGTAAGTCCCAGAGGGTACTGTTATGGTCTCGACATAGTCTAATTCTGTCCCCCACATTGGCTCATGTACTAAGATCTTGGTCCCCAGGGTGGTGCTACTAGAAGGTGGCAGAACCTTTAAGTGGGAGCTCAGCACGGTGGTGCACTCCTGTAATCCCAGTACTCAGGAGGCTCAGGCAGGCAGATAGTTGTGTGTTCAAGAACGGCCTGGGCTATAAAGTGATCTGAAGGATAACCTGAACTGCATAGTGAGACCCTGTCTCAAAAAGAAACAAAAATGAAGGAGGAAGAGGAGGAGGAGGAGGAGGAAAACAGGAGAAGGAGAAGAGGGTCCTTCAATCATTGCTCTTGTGCAACCCCTTGGTAATTGTTAAAGGCAGTAAGTCTGGCTCCTTCCATCCTCTCTGCACCTGGCTTGAGATACAATCACTTGCTGACTCTAGCCATTGCTATCTGTACCACAAGGTCACATAGCTGAGGGACAGTCCCACCACAGAGCCCGGCCTATGCTGTACTCTTCCCTTTATAACGTTAGCTGCCTCTGGTATGTTTCACTGCAGTAAGACAAAGCTGACTAAGGCAGGCATGGAATGGAGAGGGACCCAGCTCCTATATTCAGATGCTGTTCACCTCAGATTTTCCTAACCTTCATGTAGAACCATCACAGATGCCTATGCTAGGAAGTTCACTTCCTTGCCAGGCTTCCCAGTGTGTCAAATAGGAAGTCTTCCTTCTCCTAACGTCTCTATGAACAGAGCCATGGCTGGGGCAGCTCCCAGAGCCTTTCTGGGGATGCCTAGGACAAGTTTTGTTCCCCCTAGAAGACAGTCCCCGGTGATTCAGTACACAACCAGAATGTGTCAGGGACAGAGCTGGACCCTTACCTACTTGGTCCCAAACAATTTCATCCTTTAACTCTTACATCTGCATGAAAAGTAAGTATTATTTCTACACAGAGACAAGGCAAATGAGACAGAGTGGTAACATACCACAGTTATACACAGTTGGTGATTTACATCCAGATTCTCCAGAACACATTTTAATGCTCTGTGGATTTGCTGGAAGATAGGAGTACCCCCCTTCCTTCAATAAAGGTTACGTTTCTTTCTTTTTTAAAAAAGTTTTTAAAAAATTATTTATTTGTTGGGCCGAGGAGATGGTTCAGTAAAATAATCGCTTCCCTGGCAAGCACAAGGGTCTGAGTTCAATACCTGGTTCCGCCAAAATAAATAAATAAATAAATAAATAAATAAATAAATAAATAGAAATTATTTATTTGTTACAGGGTGTCGCTATGCGGTTTGGACTCATAGTGATCTTCCTGCCTCAGCCTCCCCAGTGCGGAGATTACAGGTGTGCCACCACACCCATTTTGGGGGCTGGAACGGCATGCAATACCAAGGATTGAACTCAGGTCCTTGCACTTGCCAGGCAGGCACTTAGACCTCTGAGCTATCTCCCAAGCCCAGTGTTACATTTCGTATCTGCGCTGGGTCTGTGGCACTGAGAATAGAAATGTGCCAGGCATGACCTATGCTCTCAAGGCACTGACACCTGTCCCAAACAAGCTGAAAAGAACAGAATGAGAAGCACAAGGGCGGCCTGAGCACTACAGAGCTTGGAGAGGCCAGAAGGGCTTCCTGGAGGTGACATCTAGGCTGCGTTTTTGACTATGGGGAGTTGGCAAGGCTTCTGTCAGAGGAGGTAAGAAACTGCAGGGTAAAAAGCTGAACTGTGTGGCCCAGACGAAAGGTGGCATTGCCAAACTAAGGAACAGGAACTCTGTATCACTTGAGTCAGATACCCACTTCAGTGTGCATAAGGATGTCCTGGGTTTGCTTACTTCAATCCAGATTTCATTCATTTGGTCAAGATGGATTTAGGCAGGTGCTGGGGCATTGAGGCATAGTGTACACACTGCTGTCAGGGACAGGAAAGTTTGGAGGGTTTCAAAGAACTCCTTGTGCTTTAAGCCTCATAGAGAAGTCAGAGAGACAAACATAGGATGACTGATGACAACTAGTTATTCTTATTTGTCTGAGACATATTCTTAGTATTCCAAAAAAGATGTGGCCTACTTGAACTTGTGATTCTTTAAGCCATGAGGATATTAATGGTTTGTTGGCACTGAGTCACTGAACATGTGCTTTAGGATGCAAGGGTGGCAGTTTTGGATCCTTTTTCTTATTTTAAAACTTTTTTTTTTTTTTTAAAGAACACAACCTAAGAGTCCTGACCCAACATGTGCCTAACCGTACCAGCTTTCTACAGAGATGGTTTTTCTTGTTAAGGAGTTTCAGAGAAGAGCCCTGCAAATGACCTCAGTTGTGAGAGAAACCTGCACCCGCCTGGGGTGGCCAGAGGCTGCTGCTGTGCCCCTCTGTGCTATTCACTAGGTAACTGGCCACGGATGGCCCAGCCTCCCTATGGACACTATGGGTAGAAAGAGCTGGCCGAGTCCTGGTTCCCCAGAACTTCTCAGGAGCAGAGACCACAGGTTCACAGAAGCGGGCATGGCGCAGTCAGGGCTGTGAGGGATGCAGGCTCGGCACACATGTGGACATGGAAATCCTCTGTCACAGCCTAGGGACCAGGTGAGGTCTTCTGGGGTCTTGAAAGATGAAATCAAAATGGAAAAGGGAGATGCCAGAGAGACAAACAATTAGTGGAAGTGTGGCAGCAAGAAACAGCCTTGGCCTTTCTGTTGTTACTTTTTCTATTTCTTAATATGTAATTGGTAAATTAAAAGTGTGTGTATTCAAACCAGACATGGAAGCACACAGGTATAATCCCAGCTACTCCAGAGGCCAGGTAGGAAGATCATCAGTTCAACATGAGCCTGGGTAACTTAGCAGGACCCTGTCTCAAAAAAAAAAAAAAAAAAAAAGGCTGGAAATGTAGTTCAGCACAAGGCCCAGGATTTCATCCCCAATACTAACATATCATATATATATTTGAATATACACATATCACATATTTGCATGTAATTTTAATTTACCAATTAGATATTGAGAAATATATATCAGATAGGCTAGATAAGATAGGGTTGTGGATTAGCTCAGTGGTACAGTGCCTCTGGGTTCAATTCCTGTATTATAGAAAGATACTTAAGATTTAGTGTCATTTAATACACACATACCTGATGCACTGCTTGTCACATATCCATCACCACCAATAATTTGCATGCGTGCATGTGTGGGTCGACGATCTTTTTGTTGTTTTTGGTACAGACTATAATCAGTTCTCTGACACAGAAACTCAATTTAGAAAGAAGGGGCTAAATGTGGAGGCAGGGAGTGGGCACATTTATACGTAGGGCAAAGAATTTTGGACTTTCCCCTTTAGACAGCGAGGAGGTAGATTTATAAACTGTCATGCTATCACCATTCTGCAAGCTCAGGGAGGGACATCAGCTGGGAATAGTTTCCACTCTGGGCCCCCAGCAGGTGCGTGTCTTCTCATTACTCTGCCCTCAGGCAGCAGAGAAAGAAGGTAGGGGCAGCCCCACCTCCCCTACCCCAGGTCTGCCTCCTTCAGCTGTTTCAGGCCATCAAAACCCATATGGAATCACTCCATTATCTCCCTAGACATTAAGAGAATGGCAACAAAGCTAACAATGCCACTGGAGAAAAACCTGGTTCCATAAAAATCTATCATTCTGTAGTAAGAGATATTACTCTTCCTTATGACTTATTACAGCCTTTGCTATCACCATCTGAGAAATGACAAAATCCAAATACAGAAGGTTGGGTAACCACCAGGCATGGTGGTACACTCCTGTAATGCCAGCACTGGGAAGGCTATGGGAGGAAGATCACCGCAAGTTCAAGCCTGGCCTGGGCTACACAGTGAGTTTGAGGCCAGCCTCAACTGCCTACCAAGACCCTGTTTTACAGACAAAAACCAACAAACCAGCCCAGAAGTTAGGGTAAGATCACACAGCTAACAAAATGAAAAACAAAGATGGAACCTAGGTTATGACCTTTAGACATAGGAATTAGTGAATCTGGTGCCACCCAACTAACCCTAATGCAGAATTCGAAATAAAGAGACCTAAACTGCAAAATGAATAGGAGGAAGTACAAAGAAACTTGGATTTTCTTCCCAAATTGATTACATGACAATTTTTAAAATATAAAATAAGCGGGCCAGGGATATAGCTTAGCAGCATAAGCACCTACTTGGCAAGTGCAAGGTCCCAAGTTCAATCCCTAGTACTGACCAAAAACAAAAAGCCTGTGAAATGTAAAACAATAATTATTATTTTTAAATGTATTTGGTACAAGATCTCACTACATAGCCAAGACTCATCATGAGGCCAGCCAAAAAGCTCAGCAGATTAAAGACTCATAGTGATCCTTCTGTTTTCAACCTCCCCAGCGCTGGAATTACAGGCATGCACCACCACGCCTGGTCTCAGTGGCCAGCTCAGTGCGCCCGGGAGCAGGGCCTGCCTGGCATGTGGTGCTGAGAATTGAACACTGGTCCCTGCACCAGCATAAGAAAATAATAACTTATAAAATTATTCTCTTTCTTGTCAGATGCCCTAAATGTAGATGTTTAGTCTGTCTTTGACTAATCTAGAATTGTATATATCGATAGGAGTCAAAGTCCAGGCAGTTTCTCTGCCATGTAACTCTTTATAAAAATTTTCATGCAGTTTTATAAAAACAAAAACAAAAGTGAAATTTACTCCTAAACTCTATCACTACACAACTCATCGTGTGTCCAACTCTTCTTCTACAAGCTCCGTATAAAGTCCTCTCCTTTCCACCCAACTGTGATGCTCAAACCCAGGCTGACTCTCGTCTTCCCCACCTTCTACATGGTGATGTTTTTCTTACTTAGCTGCCTCCTCTCACCCAAACCCTCTGAGCTCCTGACACTCCTCAGCCCTGGCCCTGATTTCTGGAATAGTCCAGTCTCCCCACCTCCTGTCCCTCTTCTCCCCTGCACTGGAAGACCATTTTATTTTCCTGCTTAGAACTCTGCATTCTCTGTAAGATGAAGCCCACACCCCTTCCTAGGGGGAGGAAAGGGACTCCTGCTTGCCTTTCTCACTGCACTGAGTACTGTACTCTCAGGTTTTAGTAAGAATACAGGCCACTAGTCAATTAGGAATCTGCTTCCCCACGACACCAACAGGCCTCTCTGAACTTCCCCGGTACCTAAGCTGGAAGAAAAACATAGCAAATAGTTACTGAAGAGGACTCAGATGCCTGCGGGCCAGAAGGCACAGTGAGGATACTGCTGGCTGTGACCAGGGACTGAAAACCCCCTTTCAAGCCTCACTGCAAAGGCTACACAAAGCGAGCAACTCTTCGTGCTGGCTTTTCTCCACCTATTGCCCCCACCCCAGCAGCCTAGAGATGAAATGGCCTTGAACCCTCCCACCCTGTAAATAATTATTCCTTGCCCTTTAGTAACTTATGTGAAATCACATTTTTTTTGCAATCACATCTTGACAGACAATGCTCCTCCTTCCACTGTTCACACAGCCCTCCTCAGCATGTGATTCAAGAAGACAGGAACCAGAGTCCCAGGCAAGAACTCAGCCATAAAAAGAGAAAATGTAGACATACCACCTGTAGGCATGTCTACAGAGAGTGGGGACTGGCTCTCCAAGATATCTGTACATTCACGTTCATAAGTTCATAGGTTAAAAACTCAGCAATCTGTCACCCAACATTCAGGTCTACCAATTCTTCAAAATCACAAGTTGCATTAAAAAATATGATTCTTAAAAAACAAAATTAGTTGGGCATGGTGATGCTCAACTGTAATCCCACTTACTCAGGAGGCTAAGGAAGGATTATAAATTTGAGGCCAGCCTGAGCACTGTACGTCTCCATCTCAAAATAAAAAGTGCTGAGGGTGGGAATGTATCTTAGTAGACTCGGGGTTAGCTCAGCAGCACAACGCCTGCCTGCTAAGTGCAAGGTCCTGAGTTCAATTCCAACTATTAAAAAAAAAAAAAAAAAGACACGCTTATATGAGCATTTATGAGTCCCATGAATGCTAGAGTGATACCTGCCAAGGGCTGGGGTAGGGGAGAATCCCAGTACAACAAAGCAAAACAATACAAAACACAAAACAATTGGGACAAAGAATGTCTATAAGTAAAGAAGCTAGCGGTAATGGTGTTTTATGTTCCAAATTATATTTCATACTGGACATGATGGCACATGCCAGTAATTCCAGCACTTGGGAGGCTATGGCAGGAGGAACACCTGAGTCCAAGGGAAGCCTGAGGTAAGCGAGACCCTGTCTCAAACAAACCAAACAAGAAAATAAATTGCATTTCATAAGAACATACTACTTTTAAAAAACATTTTGAATGTTACATTTTCAAAATTGTTAAAAATTAAGTAAAATACACTCAGAACTCACCATCTCAACCATTTTTATAGGCACAGTTCAATATTTTTAAGTATTTTTACATTGTTGTGCAATCTCCAGAATTTTTCACTTTATGAATGTGAAGCTCTAACTTAACACCCTATAATCTCCCCCACCCCAGCCCCAGGCAATTATCATTCCAGAGTTCACAGGACTCATAAATGCGTTTATTTTTTATTTTTATTTTTTGGCAGAACCAGGGATTGAACTCAGGCCTTTGCGCTTGCCAGAGAAGCACTTATTCTATTGAGCCATCTCCCCGGCCCCAATTATAATTTTTTGAGGACCTACCATCTTCTGTAGCAGATGCAGTTTTACTTTTCCAACAGTCCACAAGGATTCCAATTTGTCTACATCCTTTTTTTTGGCAGTACCAGGAATTGAACTCAGAACCTTGCACTTGCCAGGCAAGTGCTTATTCTACTGAGCTATCTCCCCAGCCCTACATCCTTATCTTTTTTAATAGCAGTTATCCTAATGGGTGTGAGGCAGTATCTCTTTTCTTAAATTATTTTTTATGAGCAACTTTAGGTTCACAGCTAAGTTGACCAGAAGGCAGATTTCCCATGAGTGGTAAACCTGCCCCCACATATGAATAGCATTATCAACGCATTTGTTACAACCAATGAATGTATACTAACATCATTCCCACCCAAAATCCAGGAGTATCAGGGCTCCTTCTTGGCAGTAGGTAGAGGTTTAGACAAACATCTGACATATATCCACAGTACATGTACAGTGGATATACTACACTACAAACTATGCCCTGACTATTCATCCTTTCCTCCCCTTTAACCTCTTATCTGTGCTTTTTTCTTTGTGGTGCTGGGGATCAAAGCTGGGGACCCCTGTATATTAAGCCCCAGCCCCAGCTCCTACCCTGATGTTTTGCCTCCACAGTTCTTTTTCAGAATAGACACCAGTGCCTTATCATCAGATTCATGCAGAATGGCACCTTTTCAGATTGGCTTCTTTCACTTGGTAACATTCTTGTCTTTTCCTAGCTAACTCATCTCTTTTTAGCACTGACTAGTTCATTGTCTGCATGTACCAGTTTACCCTTTAATCTACTCAAGGACATCTTGGTTGCTTCCAAGTTTTGGCAATTTTAAAACTGCTATAAATATTCACATACTAGTTTTTGTGTGGACACTTTGCATTCCTTTGGGTAAATTCCAAGGACACTGCCGGAACACACTGTTATGAGTATGCTTAGTTTTGAGAAACTATGCTGAACTGTCTCCTCCTGAAGTGGCGGCACCACCCCGCATTCTCATCAGCAGTGAGTTCCTGCGGCTCCACATCACCACCTGCACTTGATGTTGTTAGTGTTCTGGATTTTGACAATTCTAGGAAATGTTTAGTAGTCTTGTTTTAATGTCCATTTCCCTGATGACATGTATTGGGTATCTTTTCTTATGTTTGTCACCTTTTTTTTTTTTTTTTTTTTTCTGCAATACTGAGAGAACTCCAGGTCTCTACATGCTAGGCAAGTGTTCTACTACTTGTACATATTCTTTGGTAAGGTATCTTACTCAGGTCTATGGCCCATTTTTAAATCAAGCTGTTTTCTTATGGTTAAGTTTTAAGAGTTGGGCTGGGGAGATAGCTTGGGTGAATAAGCACTTGCCTGTTAAGTACAAGGGCCTGAGTTCAATCTCTGGTTCCGCCAAAAAAAAAAAAAAAAAAAAAAAGTTGTAAGAGTCTACTGTGGTTTTGATTTACAAGTCCCACATGATTTGTACATTTAAGCACTGTTTCATATCCTTTTTGGCCCATAGAATTTAAAGCACAAAAAAAAGCTAGTTTACATTTTACAAGTGAGTTTGATACTTTTTAAAACCTCTCATTTTAAGGTTAAGATACAAGAAATAAGACAGGAGACAAGGAAATTTTATAACAATTGGACTTTGTAGAAAGACTGTAACTTCCACAGCACAGCTGAAGTTACCCAAGGTCATAAATTGGCTCAAAGAAGAATAAGGTGTAGGAGCCTGGCCTTGAGATAAGGACAGCTGAAACAGACCCAGGAGAGTGAACTGCGAGACCTCTGACCTACACAGGTGTAGTTTTAGGTTCTGTTTTCTAAGGCCTGGGGAGCATTACCTAATCCAAAAAGAAGCTCCCAACAGAAATCTAAACAATCAAGTTTGTGTATGTGCTGAGGATAAGCAGAGTCCTGGCAAAGTGAGTTACAGGCAGCTAGGAAAAGGCCAAGGCAAAGAGGGAATGAGAAAGATTCATTGAAGGACACGCTGATAAGCATCGATAACAGAGGCCAGAGCATCTGGGGCTCAACAAAACAAAGGACTCATTGGTTCAGGGGGATTTTCTTGTTCAGGAATGAAATATTCGAGTATCTTTGTTCTGTTCATATTGATAATTTTAGCAACCAAAGTTTTTTTTTAAATATAAAAGTCCTAAACCGTGAGGCCATTTGGCAACCTATTCAGCTTTCCTCTCAGGTTCAGCAACCTGGGGACTGTTTGCGTTTTTTTTTTTTTTTTTTTGAGACAGGGTCTCACTATCCAGTTTAGGCTAGCCTTGCGCTCACTTTATAGCCCAGGCTGGTCTCAAACTCACAATGGTCCTCCTGCCTCAGCCTCTCAGAATGCTGGGATTACAGGTGTGCACCACCACACCCAGCCTGAGGCTGTCTGCTTTCAATCTGCAATAAAGGCTGCTTTCTGCTTTCACCCTGTAACACTTGCTCAGAAGGTACCTCTCTGCCTTTGCCTAATAAATCCATCTCACATCTCTGGCAGATCCTGAAAATTTTTTCTGTGATGGGAGCCTATGAGCCTGCTACAGCGGGATGGGTTATCAAAACCCAGCCTGGTGATACCTATACTTGGGAAAGTCCTTCTCCTCCACCAATGAGGAGTCCTACATCCTCTACCTCAGGCTGGATGGCTGAGCTTGCAAACCTTGTTCCTTGTAGGACAGCTGCAAAGCTGAAAGCTGAAAGCTGAACACTGTACACATTGACAGATTTTTTTATTTTGCTCCGAATGCCCTCAGGGGTGGTTTGGCTGGCTGGAGTGTTGTGGAGATCGAACTACAGCAACCTGAGGCTGAAAGCTTTGCGGAAGCAGCCTCTTAAAGAACTGAGCCAGCGCCAGGCCCCCCCACAGTGACAGATTTAATGGTCCTGTTATCCGCAGGAAAATGACAAGCTCGCCCTCTGGCGACAAGTTAGAGATAACAGAAAAAAGCAACAATACCCTACCTAGAATCTGGGGATAATAAAACAAACTGCAAACCACTCAAAGTGGTTTATCCATAGGAACAGATTTTTTAAAAGTTCAGTTCCAGTGGGCAAAATGTCACAAAACATGCTTACAAATTCCTAGCTGGAATCGTCTGGGGAATAATCTATTTCCTAAGCACGAGGAGCTGGGCCAGGTAGATGCCCTGGAGATGCCGGGTTTTGTATGTATGTATGTATGTATGTATGTATGTATGTATTTATTTAGAGGAAGTCTCACTACACAGTTCAGGCTGGCCTTGAACTCATGGTAACCTTCCTGCCTCAATCTGTGATAGGATTACAGGTGTGTGTGCCTGTAATTATCTGAGATGCTAATTTTTAACTCTGAATACCTTCTAAAAACTAGGCTTATGGTTTTTTTCCTCAGCTCTGAGGTATAAAAACCTTTAATCATCATGTTACCCATCCCTCCTGATCTCTATGAATTTATAGTAAGATTTAAAAAGCCTATACCAATGGGGCCAGGGACATAGTTCAGCAGCATAAGTGTTTGCCTGGCAAGTGCAAGACCCTGAGTTTGATCTCCAGTACCACAAAATAAAATAAATAAATAAAATTAAATAAAATAAAAAGCCTACATCAATGATTACCTAAATCAGAGGGTGTCAGTCATGATTTAACTGTTCTTAGCTTCTTAAAATCTCTATTACATAAATGAAGATACTGTTTTTCAAGCCCTTCCAACTAAAATAGTATTAATAATGAATATGATGCTTAGCTCCTTCAGGGTCTGTGGCTGCTAATCTTTCCTCATTACCCAAATTTCTATGGCTCTCTAGTTTGCTACTACTTCTGACAGATCTGTAAGAGTCCGAAAATTAGGGGGCCAGGAAGTTAGCTCAGTAGAATAAGTGCTTGCCTGGCAAGCACAAGGGCCTGAGTTCAATCGCCGGTTCTGGAAAAAAAAAAAAAGTCTGAAAATTAAGGCCCCATAAATGTGGTTTTCTTCACAGAATTCAGTCTAATAAAGAATTAGCAACTGAAATACATACTATAGGCCAAATCCCAGTAGGCAACACTTTGGGATAAATGGATCTATGTAACTAGAGCTGCTGAAATTGAGCTCAAAGTTCTCCTGCTCCAGCAGGTTGACTGTCAAGGGCTGCATCAGATCTCAGAAACTGGAGGTGCCAGCCTCACCAGCCTCACACTACCCAAACGTTAAGGACTGGACACTTTTCTGCTGTGCTTTGTGCAGCTGCTGGGCCCGATTTTTTAGCACCTCGGCCTTCACCTCGTCCTTATCAACACCGTCCCCCAGCTTGTACATGCGACTGGCATTGGCACAGGCCCAAATGTGGCCCAGGTCACAAGCTTTCATTGAGTATTTACAAGCCAGAGACATGTCCTTGGGGAAGCCAGGAGCACCTTGCAGGAACATGGCACTGAGATTGAAGCAGCTGGGAGCGTAACCACCATCACAGGCCCTGGTGTAGTAGTCCCGAGCTTTTCTTAGGTCAGGCTGGCCATCCTCATTGACCTCTCCTTCATGAGCCAAGAGACCAACATTGTGACAGGCTTCCACAGACTTCTTGCCGGGCTTCTCACATGCCATCAGAAAGCAGCTGAAGGCAGCTTTCAGGTCTTGAGTCAGTCCACCTGTGAGGAGAGAAAGCAAAGAAAAGAGTAAATCCAAGCACAAAACTAGTTGCCTCAGGACAAAGTCTGGGCAGAATTCTGGATAAAGTTCATGTCCTATGGGCTAAGGCACCATGAATGGAAGGCAGCCTGGTGTAGTGCAGAGCTTTCAGCATTTTTCAGTATAAACTCTTGGGCCAGCCAGATAGTTCAGTGGATTAAAGCGCCTGCTTAGGCAGATGCAGGGGCCAGGGATTTAATCCCTGGCCTGCCATGCCAGCTCCGCCCCCAGGGCTGAGATGGGGATTAAGACTGGGCGTGGTGGCACCACCTGTAATCCCAGCTCTTCTGAGGTTGAAACAGGATCACTACAAGTCTGATCTGTGTGGTGAGACCCTATAAACCCTGTGCTAAATACAGAAAAAAATAAAAATAAAATAAATACAAGTAAGTATAAACTCTTCAATATGCTATCTTGTCAGGATGTCCAAAGAATTAAAGGAGGTAAGAATTGAGAATGATAGTGAGGACATGGTATTTTGTAACCACTCAATTAAGTGTTCATTCATTTAAAAAACATAGAGTTAACAAATCCTTTTAAGTATATGGTTTAATTAACCTGGAGGTTCAACCAATCTCAGATCAAAAATATTCAAAAAAAGAATTACGTCTGTACTGGACATGTATAGATTTTTCTCTACTCATTATTCCTAAAGTAATACACAGTATAACAACTGTTTATATTATTTATATTGTATATTATAATCATTTATATTATAATCTAGAGATGATTTAAAAGTATACACGAAGACTACAAAGGTTATGTGAAAACACTATGCCATTTTATATAAAGGATTTGAGCCACTGAGGATTCTGGTGTCTGCAGGAGCCCTGGCACCACTCTCCCAGTGACTGACGGATGACAATGTGATGAATCTCTGTTATTTCCCAACTACTATGCTATGTCCTAAGGAACACACTCAAGAATCGCGCCTTGTGGATCTTTAAAAAAATTTTTTTTGGTGGGGAGGGGACCAGAAATTGAACTCAGGTCCTCACACCTGCCAGGATCTTATGGTCTAGTGAGACATACAAAAATAGGAGTAATTATAAATGTGACTCTATAGAGAAGTATCCTTGTCCTATGCAAATGCATGAGGGCCCAGCCCTAGCCTGCAAACAAGGTCAAGGAAAGTTCCCTTAAGAAGTGACATGTTAGTGGCTGGCCAGATAGCTCAGCAGATTAAAGCGCCTGTTTAGGCAGGGCAGGGACTGGGGTTCAATCTCTGCCATGCTGGCCCCACTCCCAGGGCATGCTGAGAATGACTGAGACTAGGCGTGGTGGTGCGCACCTGTAATCCCAATCCTTGGGAGGCTAAAAACAGGAGAATCACTACAAGTCTATCTGTGTAGTGAGACTCTGAAGACCCTGTACTACATACATTAAAAAAAAATAGTGACATGTCAGCTCTAACATAGTAAGAAGAGGCAAAAGAAAATAGGTGAGATTTTAGCCAAGGGAAATAAAACAAAGAGCAAAAGGCGGCTGTGATTAGAACCCAGAAATCATTAAGAAAGAAGGCTAGAGAGGCAGCCAGGGCTAGATCACTCTGGGTCTATTGGGTTATGGGCAAGACTCTGGATTTACCCTAAAAGCCATGAGAAACTGCTAACAAGCTATTTAATTAAGCAGAGGTAGTGATAGGGATTACTTCTTTTTTTCACACAATATTTCAAATCCACATGTATACTAAATTACTCAGTCTCAAAAAACTCCATTTAAATATTCATCATTAAAAAAAGAAAAAAATATTATTCATCATTATCATGAATTCAACACCACTCCAGTCATTTTTGCAAATAAAATCCTGGCTGCCAGACATGGTAGCACACTTTTGTGATCACAGCACTCAGGAGGCTGAGACACAAGGACTGCCACAGGTTCAAAGCCAGCCTGGGTTATTTAGTGTAGAGATAGCCTAAACTATACAATAAGACCCTGTATCAAAAAAACCAAATAAATAAATAAACAAATAAATAAACAAACAAATGCTCACTGGCTAAGTGAATACCACACAAAAATACTTCGAAGAGTTTAATCACATACATTATTATAAATAAAAAATTTAACTTTGATTTTATCAGAAGAAAACCTGGGTAAAGTAAAACAAAGGAAATTATTCATCTTTAATATTTCCTCCCACAGAGAAATTTCCTAAATGAGTATATAGAATTAGAAAGTGGGCTGGGGAGATAGCTGGGTGGTCTAAGTGCCTGGGTGGTCTAAGTAGCATAGCACACAGTTTCAATCTCTGAAACTGTGTGCCATGCTACCGTGCCAGCCACTGAAATCGGGTATGGTGGCACACGCCTGTAATACCAGTGCTGGGGAGGCTGAGATATGAGGATCACTATGAGTCGGAACTGTGTAGCAAGACCCAGTACCAAATAAATAAATGATTTAAAATAATAAAATTTAAAAGAAAGATTAGAAAAAATATGATTAAGATTAGAATCTTTTTTTCTTTTTAAAGCTTTCTCATAACTATAAGCAGTGTACATGGAGGTGCCTCATACCTCCATCTTTCTGGCTTCTGCTTTATGGATTATTTCAACAAATTCAGCTGGCATAGCACAACGGTTAATAAGGCCTGGGCTGTGTAGCCACAAAACCCTTGCTCATCTTGGCTCCATGACTACCACCTTACTGACCTAACCCTCTCTGAGCCTCAATTTTCCTTATCTATAAAATAAGGATAACAGTATCTAGTTAATATGTCAAAATTTTAAATCTATATTTACAAAGAGCTGGAAAAGTAGCAAGTGCTACACTTTTCTGGTTTATTTTTGCAGTACTGGGAATCAAACTCAGGGCCATGCACATGCCAGGCCTTACTCTACCTCTGAGCTACATTCCCAGCCTCAACATTTGTTTTCACACTGTAAACATCTTTATTATTTTTCTTCAGTGCTAGAAATTCAATCCAGGGCCTCACTCATGCTACACAAGCACTCCACCAATGAGCTACACACACAGCCCCAGCAACCGCTATATGATAATAGTACTGCATAGAGTTGGGGCTTTGCCTTTATATCCTCGCTAAAATCTTTACTCTACTGGAGTATTTGGTTACATTTAACATAGTACTGGTAGGATGGGTTCAAATCTATAATCTTGTTTTCCACTTGTCCCAAGTGATTTTGCAAGCTTTTTCTGTCTTCTTTTGAACTATTTCTAATACTTATTTTCATCGCTAGCTTTTTAATTATCCCTCCTCTTTTTGTGGTTTACCTCCTGCTTATAATATATATCTTTATCACGATCTACCATGAAATAATATTATGCCTCTTCCATGCAACACAAGAGCTTTGTAATACATACCTGCATTTCCATTTCCATTCTCTGTGCTATCACCACCATGATTTTTGTTTAACTTCTGCATATTTGCTATAAGGACACGTTCCCAGGATCAAATCCTTATACCACTTTACATGTCTCTCTTTAATGATATTCATCAAACTCTCCTAGATATAACAGGTACTGGTGTAAATTTTTCTTCCTTTCACTGACCTATAACTAATTCATTACTGTGGGTAGTAGATATTTAAGTAGTTAAGTGGAATGCCTCAGCACACAGCAATTAATTGTATGTTTGTCTACTAAGAGAAGGGAAAAAAATTGCACAGGCTTTTTCACTTTTCCTGATTCAAGAAAGACCTCTACCCATCATAGAAAACATGGTATTGAAACAAGAGCCCAAACGTTTACTAAGATACCTAATCTGGAGATAATCACTATAGACATGTTTTTAAATAATAGTTGGATTATAATAGCTGTAGTCACACCATAAATAATTTAAATTTAGCTTTCTTCACTTTTTAATTATTGTAAGATTTTCTCCTTATCAACAAAAGTTGTGATAGCTCAGTTGAATAAGCACTTGCCTGGCAAGTACAAGGGCCTGAGTTCAATCCCCAGTTCAGCAAAAAAGAAATTTATTTATTTATTTATTTATTTATTTATTTATTTATTTATTTTTGGTACCAGGGATTGAACTCAGGACCCTGAGCTTGCCAGGCAAGCGCTTATTCTACTGAGCTATCTCCCCGGTTCCAACAAAAGTTGTTTAGAAATACTTTTTAATGAACTAAATAGTATTTCCCCCAATGAAAATAACAGTATATATATAAAAAAGAAAATAACAGTATTTAACTAAGCTGCTGGGGCTATAGCTCAGTAGTAGTAGGGAAAGGCTGCTAGGGTGGTTTAACCCCTAGTACCACTACCACCAGGTAACTAAGTTGTTACTGTTGGTACACAGGTTTTTTAAAAAATACAATACATATTACTCACACATTACAAATAAAAATTTCATATAAATAATACAAGTATTTTTGCATGTAAGTTTTATTTGCACTTCAAATTATTTTGTTCAGAAAGAATATGAGAGGGGCAAGGACATGGCTCAGTAGAATAAGCGCTTTCCTGGCCAGTGCAAGGGCTTGAGTTCTATCCCCGGTTCCACCAAAAAAAAAAAAAAAAGAAAGAAAGAAAGAATATGCAGGGGACATATTATTAGGTCAAAGAAACACCCCACTGCCCTGGTAAAGAAATCAAAAACATCTGCTAATGTTAAACTTTCTGTAAAACAGAGATTATACCACCTTGGACCACCTTAGATTTATAAAGCAAATACAGGGTTAATGGAGGGCTGGGAAGAGAGCTCAGCAGCATAAGCTCCTGCCTGGAAGGGCTAAAGGAGAAAGGACAGCAATACATTAATAACAAAGGACTCCAGTACCCCACTCCAATAATGGTTAGATCACTGAGACAAAAGATCAAGACAGAAGTATGTTTGACGGAAAGTATGTACCAAAGGAACTTCAGACACCACCAGTAACAGCAACTTAGTTCATTATTTTTTTTCAGATAAAATATTATAGGTTTATTTAAAACTTATGTTTCACCTTAAATATGCAAAACACAAACTCCACAAAATGCTCATTTCCTTACTTCATAG